CTCTCCTCCCCACTTTGCATGGTAGAGAGTTGTGGCCTGGCTGTTCACTTGTGAGCTTACACTTCTGCAGTTGACATGAGTCAGAGGCATAGTCTGGTGCTCAGATTTCAACTGGAAACTGGTTTGAGATGAAATGTAGTCATTACCCCTTTATTGCCAGTCTCAGGTCATGGTAGGGCAGGGTGCATGGGGGTCCCCTGGCAGAGGGACCAGCAAGAATATCACAGGGAAATCAAGGGCTTTTCTACCACCCCTGTGGATGATGGTCACTATCTAGGGAAGTTGCGGGACAGCCATAGATAGCATCCTTGGCATCGGGGCATGCTGCAGCCTCTGAAAAGGTGGGGAGCTAACTCTGCTACATGCTGCTACCTACTGCTTCAGCTGCTTGGCCTTGATGTCATTGTCTTGCCAAAGCCCATTGAAGCTAAGGGAAAGACTCCCTTCAGCAGGCTTTTAATAGGGCCTAAAGTCAGATGTATGTGCTGAGTGAACCATAGAATAACTCTGTCTTGTGCAATGGTCTGAGTCAGTCACATCCCCTCAAGCTGTATGAACTTTAAAACTTGCTGGTGAAGCAGACACCCAATTCCTTGATACCTCGGGGTTGGTTTTGGTGTCTCAGGGAACTGCTATGACTAACTGGTCTTTTTAACTTTGAAGGTTATAAAGAATTTGCTGTTTGTGGCCAAAGTTCTCTATCTTCTGGCCCCTGACTCAGAGAAGGATGAGGAGAGCAAAGATGAAATGCATTGTGAAACAGGAGCACAGGATGCTTCTGAGGCTGAAGGTGAGGAAGCTCCAGCTCAGGAAGAGAAGGACAGTGAAGAAGCAGAAGAGAAAAGCAGGCCAGCCACACTGTTATGGGTGATGAAAAAGCTCTCCCTAATGGCAAAGCGAGAAGCAGCGTACTCCCCTAAAAGCCCTTTAAAGGTAAGTAAGAATTGCATTGTTCTCTCACTCCTTGGACTCAAGATACTACACCGTGAGGAAGGCTGTGCATTGTTGCCTTTAACTCCAAGGAAAATAATTAGGGGTGGCTGTCAGGAAGCAGAGAAGTTTGTAGTTGCTGAGAGATGAAAGGTAGGAATTCTTAGGAGGTGTAAGCAAGGTTCTGTCTTTGCAATGTGTCCCTCTGGACCTTCACTCTGTCTGCATTAGTTCTGAACTTGAGTGAATTAGCTGGTGTATTGGCACACACCAGTCTGGACAGTCCGTGTTTCTTTAACATGAGACGTGTGCTTGTCTTGGGACATGTGTTTGTAGTGGCTGCATGGCCTGACTCAACCTAAAACACTAATGTAGATGCATCTTCTGGGGGCTGAAGAATCAAGAGAAGATTAATTGCATCAAGCTGAAGGTGAGGAAGAACCAGCCCTGGGACAGGGAGGAATGGCAATTGATACATGGCAGGCAGGGGAACGCAGAGCTTTCTAATGGAGGGATTGTGCTTGCTGAGGGGGAAAGGATGAGAAAGGTGGATGTGAGAGGGACTGAGCCTTCCAGAGCACAGAACTGAAGAGGAAGCAAGCAAGAAATACCCTGAAAATACATTGCCTTGTCTTCTGCTGCTTCTATGCAGAAGGCCACAGGGTCTGCTAATCCTTAGTCTTCCAAGGTGATGGGCAGAGTGGGCTGTCAGTCGAGTTGTTCTTCAAATGCACAATGGACACATGAGTCTCTAGAAACCCAACACTAGCAGATATCATCCTGGAAAAAGCAGTTTCCACATGTTTTGTCAATGCATTTCAATGCCCAGCTTGCTTATTTGTGCGCAGCTGCCACAGGGCAGTTTGCCCCATGTTTATGCCTTGAGCTTTACCTCTCCATTCATGTGACTGTGACCTGAGTGTAAATAGTGAACAGCCTAATGTAACTATAGCACATAGCTATGAAGCGGGGGCTGCTCAGCTGAGCAGCAGTGAGACTGTAAAATGGTTACTCGGCCCTTTCTCCTAACTAGACTATATAAATTATTTACTGAGAGTCTGAAAGAGGCCCGTGCTCATCTAGTGTTGAAGTGCATGGAATATCTCTTTGGAGCAGTAAAATGAGTGTTTCCTTCCAGTCTCTGTATCCAGTATGTTTGTATTTTCAGAGAACTTGCATCTTAAAGTTCCTTGGAGCTGTAGCAATGGATCTGGGAAAAGACAGGATCAAGTCATATCTTCCAACAATCATCACACCATTGCACAGAGAGCTGAGCAGCACATATGCTGAGCAAGGTACACTGTTTCTGTGTTAAGAGGATGACAGATTTCTGCTTTATGCTATTGGGAGAGAGCCCCAACACATACCCTGCCTTGTATCTTGACTCTTCAGATACCTGCTATTATTCAGTGAATTATAACCAATTAGCATATACCCAACATGTCTCTCAGATAAGGATCGCATCCTGTTGGCAGGGTGGAAGTGAAGTTGATGACCCAGAAAAGGACAAGGGCAGATATGGAGGAGGGTCTTAAAGGAAAGAGTGTAAAGCTTGACCAGGAGGAGTCAGTGTAGTGACTTGCATTGACTGGGAGGTACAACACTGGTGTCAAGGAAGAACAAAGCATGGTTGAGGGTAGTGAGCCCTAATTAAAGTTGCAGTAGTTTCTTTACAAAACTGATTGCATTTTTTAAAGCACTCTGAACTCACAGTCAAAGGGGCAGCATGCCCTAAAAACTGTTCTGCTGGTATAGGGCCTGGGGTAGAGTTAGTACAAGTCTGAGGTAATTTGGTCAGGGTGCTCTGAAGTCACCCCAATGACCTGGTTTTAAAAGTATTTTCTTGACACAGTTTCCTCAGCTCCCCCAACATGTACACACTGCTAAATTAAGACACGGGGCCCAGAAGGGGCATATTCAGTGCCCGGGCCTGTATGGCCCCTGTCACATGCACATAGTGCTGAGGCTTGACTGAGGCGGCATATTTAGCACATGGAGCTGAGGCTAGATAAGTTAGATAGGAAGGAGTAAACCCTACTGACATTTCCTACCTGCCACACACAGTGTAGTTAGCTTTGTCTCCTCCCTGAATTAACTCCATCATTTCTGGCCCACTGCATTAGTTGTGAAGTCAATACACCAGTGTCTCTTCAGGAAAGTCGTGACTTGCAGTACTGAATTGACCTCAACAGCTATGTTTTATATTGTGGAGAATTAATTGTAGGGACAACAATTATCTCAATTATCTTTGTTTTGTGTGTTGGTGCAACTGGAATGAAATCACTAACATACCAGCTGGATTTGCTGAGGAAGTGTGAGGACTAATTGGAGTATGTTTTCTGTTTGGTTGATCAGATCCAACGCTGAAGAATCTTTCACAGGAAATTATAGAACTGCTTAAGAAATTAGTTGGTCTGGAGACATTTTCGCTTGCCTTTGCTTCTGTGCAGAAACAGGCCAATCAGAAAAGGGCAATCAGGAAAAAACAGAGGGCTTTGCAGGTAAGGTTTTGTTTCCTACTCATTTGCAGCTTAAGAAATAGTTAACAAGCATGAGGAGACAGACTTGGGGAACTGCATTTTTAAGGTAATTTTTTATTTCCTTTTTTATTTAGACTGTAGCAAACCCTGACATTGCTGCCAGGAAGAAGCTGAAGAAACACAAAAATAAAATAGAGGCAAAGAAGAGAAAAATAGAGTTCTTGAGGCCTGGATACAAGGCTAAGAAACCAAGGAGTCATGCACTGAAAGACTTGGCAATGGTAGAATGAAGGCAGTTTTCTCCCAACAAGCCTACTCAAGATATCTGGAGTATATATTTAATAGGTAGCTTGAGCCTGTAAATCACACCAAGGGACCGCAGTAGTGTGTACTCATGAGGACTTCTTACTTAAGTGCTAGGACTCTGGAAATTTCCAACACCAAAAACTGTTGTTGCAGCAAGATATCAGTAGCTGAACATAATTTCCTCAAACATAACTGATGATACTATTTTTAAAGATGTATTTATTTGTAATTTTAAGGTCTGTTGGCACGTGTATAATCACCTCAGGTCTTACATAGAGCCATTTATTGAGCTTTCCTCCCTTAAAAAAAGTGAGCTATAGCCTGGACTGATTTTTAATTAGTCCATTCAAACCCTTTGGTTTGCTGTGCATTAATAAACTATGAAATGGATTTGAGTACAGTTTAATGTACTAATACCATGGATTTTTTAATTAAAATGTGCTGCAAGCACACTGGAATTCATGTATGTTTGTTTCATTTTGTGTCAAGCAATGTTTAAAGCCCCAGGGCCTAAACTTATTCAGTAGCCTAAGATATGTGAACTCTAAAACCACACCAGGGAATAAAAGGTGGGGGGATTTGTGTCTCTGGTTCAAGGATGTGGAGTACCAAGCAGAACTACCCAGAGAGATTACTTGATAGTCTTGTTCCAACATACCATATGGCAGAAGTAGTAACTTGGTTTTGCTTGGCTGTAGCCTGGCCCCACAGCTTCTTGGGTAAGTGAGGGGGAATGCTGGTAAGAAAACTAACAAACAGTTGTCTTCTGCTCCTCCTATAGTGCTTCTCAGAGGCACTGGTGGATTAGACAAAACCTTCAATGGAGGGTATGGGCAAGACACCTTTTGGTATGCTTTAAACCAACATTAGCTGTATGTGGCTGTGTAGTTAGAATGTTGTCAAACCTGTTTCCAGTTCTTTGTATGAGGGTGCAGTATTATTGAGTGGCTGGGGAAGAAGGAAGAAAGTACTTCTACCATTCCCCCAGGCTGAAGTGGTGCAAAGAAGTGACAGAAATATGGACTGAACTACTCTGGTCATTTGGCTACCTGTGCCAGATACTCTAAATCTATTTCAGGTATAGAACAAATAAGTAGGTATGTTAAATGTAGGAAACTCCCTTATTATACACACAGTTTTCATTCCTAGCCTCAGAATTGATGAAAAGAGAGCCTTCAAGTAGAAAACTAACAGCAGTGTATTGGCTATAATCATAATTAACCTCAAATCTCACAGGCATCGAGGGGGGAAATATACACAACAGAGAAATCTAGGCTACCCTAGTGACAGTTCAAAATTTTATTAGTGTTATTACATGAATAAGATAGCCACTAGAATTCAAAACAATAGAAAAACTCCAGCAAATATTTCCAATTCCCTTCCATACAAATTAACATAAGTACATACCTTTAAAACAAAGGAAAGCAAGACAATGCAGTATATAATGTACACAGACATTCAGTTTGTTCAGTGTATGTTTGCAATTCAAGATAAGTTATCCACTTTTTACAGAAGTCAGATTCAGTCAGTCCTATTTACAACAGCTGTGGCATTAAACTTGCTTGACTGCAGAAAGAGGGATGCTGGATGTAACTGAATGTTATTGGTCAAAAGTCTGCTTACTGTCTGCTCTTCAAGGTCTCCACCAGCCTGTGGAGAAAAAGTTCAGTTTATTAGTGGCACTTACTCCTGTGCAATTCCAGCCCCTTTTGTATTCAGAAGGCCTTAGCTATTGTGTCTTTAACTAAAAGCATCAAAAAAATATGGAAGATTTGTTTATTAACACTGAGTCAGCTACTGAAGCTAAGAAACTTTTTAAGATCTTTCATTCCCATTAACATCCTGTGAATAGAACAAGAGTAGGTTTGAAACAAGTTACAAGTTGACAGCATAATGTCAGACATCTATTTTTCAAATTCAACTCTGGAAAGAAGAGATTGAAGAGATCACAAAATAAGAGGTCTGGCCAGGGACCTCAAGAGATCATCTAGTCCAACTCTTGCCCAAAAGGCAGGAACACCCTCCCCGCCCCCCCTGTAAATCATGCTGGACAACCTGCTCTTGAAAATCTTCCAAAGATAAGATTTAGCAGCCTCTCTAGGTAGCCTGCTCCAATGTTCAGCCACTTGAATGAGCTTCCTAATATCCAGCAAAAATGTCCCCTGCAGCCACAGAGAATAATCTAACCATCATCCTCTTTATAACTATCTTCAGGTGTTTGAAGACTAATCAAGTCTTTTCTTCTCCAGACTAAGTAGTTCCAAGTCATTCAATCTTTCCTTTTAAGTCATAATTCCCAGTTGTCTAGTCACTCATCTTGTCCTCAAGTATATTTGCATACTTGACAAATGCACATTTCCCTTTCAGGAATCCACAGTTTTAGCATTAACAGGAAAGACTTGATCACTAACTTTATTTTGGACAGAAAGAGCTCCTTACCATTCCATGGCCTCATCAAGCCCGGTGCCTTTGGTTGCAGAAGTCTTGAAGATCTGCCATTTTCGGTCCTTCAAAGCTGGTAGGCCAAGCGAGTTTGCCATTTCTGTAGGAGTCATGGCCTGTTCCATGTCCTGTTTGTTTGCAAACACCACTAAAATGGCTTTCTTCAGCTCTTCTTCCTAAAACAGAAACTCAGATAAGTCACTGGACTTCCCCACACCCTGCCGCCCCGTGAAGAGGGTTAAAACAAACACGCAGTTGTGTTTTAATGCAGCAAAAACTTATGTAATGACTAAAGTGACCAGGTATTGTTTTTTTCAGTTTCATTGATTTGCTTTACGGAATCCCTTCAGAAGACAGATTGGGGCTTACAAATAAAGCTACAATTAAAATTTGATGTAGACTCACTTTACTGCCTACGTAATACTGCTTGGATCAGTTTTGTAACTAGAGACTGCTTACAGTATGTTTTATTTTCCCTATAAATTATAACAAAGTTTATGCATGGATTTAAAGATTTACAACAAAAGCTTACCTAACTAAAACCCAATTCCATCATCCTTGCTTGTGAAGTAATGTTCTAATTAAATGCAAGTCTGGCAGTCAGCCCTGAGTGGTGAAACCTTTTAGTAGCCAGGCATTCTATTAAACAGATTACTATATTCAAACCTGTTGGTCATACACAGGCTTGTCAGACCTGGCAACATGGTAAGATGCAAGGAATAGAGAATTTAAGTTCATTGCAGAACACCCACAACCGAAAACTTGGCAAGGGGTTGTTCAGAGAGTATAAATGAGGAAATCACAACTTGATTCCAAGACCAGATATGCACTGGTTGTTTTAGATTACAAATCTTGCCTCAAACAATAGCTCTTACTTTAATTATATAAAGAGCATCCCTTTTTTTATTCCTTACCTCCAACATAGCAACAAGTTCCGATTTTGAAATGCCAATTCTGTCTCGATCACAGCTGTCTACTACATAAATGACTGCATCTGTATTGGAGTAGTAACATCGCCAATATGGCCTAGTGTGGGGGGAAAAGAAGGGGAGGGGGTGTCATTCACGTTTACACCGAGGTAACCTGAAATTTTTTTGGTGCTTAGGCCATAACTTGAAAAACCCACTTTACCCAGGGATAGACACAGTTTTCTCCCAGCAAAGTGACCCTAGG